CACCATTTTTTATCCACTCAAATCCCTTCCTTAAACCGGCCGAAATGTCTTTGAAGCTAGCAAGCAATCAACATCATCCTGTTTCAAGAAGGATGACTTTTGCAGGGTGCTTTGACTCCCTGTTGGCTTTGTGTGCTTTAATGAAGGATTTAACTCAAAGCTTTGGAGGCATTTCATTATTTTGCTGGTGAGGGATGGCGCCAGTCCAGAGGCAGCATTAACTATATGCTCTTTCCACATCTTGAGCCATCAATCCACTCTGAAATTTGGGGAAATTGCAACCCGCATCAGAAATAGCCGTAATAACCTTCCGTGCCTTTCCATCATCATATCTTTTAAAAAAAATGTGTTCATAATTGGGGTTAGAAATTAGGTCACTAAATGGAGAAAGGTATGCTTATGTAAAGCAATTAAAAAAATTAACACTGTTAGAGGTTAGGCTGATGCACCCAGTTCAATGTGCAGTATTATTTTTAGCCAAGTTGAGAGAACAAAAGGAAAGCAGAGTTTGGACATTTCAGATATATATTTTTAACACACGTTTTTGTGGATTGCAACCTAGTTCTTTGGATCCACGAAAGGCAGTGTTCAAGGCGCAGGGATACATGCCAGTGGGCATGGTTGCCTAGGGTAGGACTGAGTGAAATGAGATGTAAGGTAAAGGTTCCCCTTGGCAATTTTTGTCCAGTCGTGTTCGACTCTAGGGGGCGGTGCTCATCCCCGTTTCCAAGCCATAGAGCCAGCGTTTTGTCCGAAGACAATCTTCCGTGGTCACATGGCCAGTGCGACTTAGACACGGAATGCTGTTACCTTCCCACCGAGGTGGTCCCTATTTATCTACTCGCATTTGCATGCTTTCGAACCGCTAGGTTGGCAGGAGCTGGGACAAGCGACGGGCACTCACTCCATTGCGTGGATTCGATCTTATGACTGCTAGTCTTCTGACCCTGCAGCACAGGCTTCTGTGGTTTAGCCCGCAGGAAATGAGATGTAGAAGGTGATAAATGTGTTACAAATAGAGATGGGCACGAACCAGAAAAAGGACAAATTGGGATGAGCCATGAACCACCCGTGCACGCTGGGAAAAATGAATTCATGATCATGTTGGGGGGCGTAGATTCTAAATTAGGTCACTATAGCACTTATCATAGCAGACAGGGAGGTGGCAGGGGCCTTAGAATCTACGAATGAAGTGGTTTCCCATTCCCTTCTTTCAGGGGTGGTCTGGGACTGTACAGCTTGCCCAAGGCTACCCAGCCTGGCTCTTCTGAGATGCACAGTGGAGAACTGAACTCCCAACCTCTGGTTCCACAGTCAGAGATGTATCTCACTGAGCTATCCAGACAGCACTGCCTCTATTAGACCACTGGGAAAAAAACACACACACAAACAAATGCTAGCTTTTGGCTCATAGTTGTGAATTTTTTTTAGTACAGTGGAGAACTGAACTCCCAACCTCTTGTTCCACGGTCAGAGATGTATCTCACTGATCTATCCAGACAGCACTTCCTCTATTAGACCACTGGGAAAAAAAACACAAACAAATGCTAGCTTTTGGCTCCTAGTTGTGAAATTTTTTTAGAGGTCTACTAGAGCTATTCCCTCCATGCCTTTGGATGGGGTGTACAAAGGCCACCTATTTCCCCCCCTCCTTTTGCTTTCAAGAGATTGTCTTAGCTGAACTCAAGACTGTGTCTCATAGTCTTTTTGGGGAAAAAACATTTAGGCTAGGCACGAAGCAACAGCAGCTACAAAAGAAAAAGAAAGTGTAGTGTGTTAATAAATGTAGTTTGCCAAAAAAAAAAAGCCCTTTTCCCTATTCAAGCCATTGATGACAGGAAGGAATTTGTGAATTTAGCCTCTCCACTCACCCTTTCCAAGCATCTTTTGAAATCCCTCTGATTTGGTATGAGGCTTTTTCCTCCTCTGGCTTTCTCTTGTTACTGTCTGGAGAGTTTCAAGGGTTACACATTGTTCTGTGGGCTGGGGTTTTTTAATCTTCCTCCCATTCTCTGCTGCTGGGAGCCTTTCTCTTTAATGTTTACTCTAAGGCTGCAAGAAAAGAAGCAAGATGAGCCTCCCTTATGGTAATGATTTGTGGCTGGATTTCTCATTGACAGGCTGTTCCTGTGTATCTGATTTTCATTCCCCACCTCCACCCTCTCCCCTTTTCTTCGCCTTTCCAAATATACTCCCCTCCCAGGCTGTTAGGCAGATGCCATCTTACTTTCTTCCCCACTTCCTTGTGGCCATCTGGTACTCAGACGTGCTTTTCTTAGGACGTGGGTGGAGTAAACCAAAATCTCTCATTTGAATTCTTTTCCGTAGCCTGCTTGGTTTCCACTCGCCTGTGCACGCGCCGCCATCTTTCTCTACGTACCCCATCTCAGTTTCCTTCCTCTTTTTTTTCTCTGTTGAATTTTAAAACTGTAAGCCCCTTGGGGCAGGGAGTGTCCCTCTAACCTGTTGTAAAGCACCCTGCCCTTGCAGGATGAGGAATATCACCGACTGATAAGTGAAAAATGGACTTTAGCCCAGCTGATTAAAGCTGTATGTCTTTCAGGTGTTGGTTGTGTGATTAACTTTTTATGTACTAAGGAGCATCCGTGGGAAAAGGAGGTCTCTGGGCGTAGAGTTTCAGGAAGTTATTTTTTCAACTAACAACTCCCAGAAATGGGAGTCTGAAGAACTGCAGTCTGGCTGTGCTGGCTGGGAGGTCCTGTTCATAAAAGAAAAGAAAAGAAAAACAACTCCCAGAAATGGGAGTCTGAAGAATTGCAGTCTGGCTGTGCTGGTTGTTCATAAAAGAAATGAATGAATGAATGAATGAATGAATGAATGAATGAATGAATGAATGAATGAATGAATGAATAACTTTTTCCACACTCTGTTTAGGTCTCAGTAAGAGAACAGTTCTTTTAGCTTCGATCCTTAAGATACCTAAGGGGATTCCATTGGATGCAGTAGGACTTGCTTCTGTGTAAACATGCAGAGAATTACCCTGTAAATCTCCTGAGCTGGTCCTTATTAGCAGAACTGCCTTTCCTGGTAACTCATAGGGAAACGAAACAGGTTATCAAACGTTTATCTTAATTTGTAGGTTGCATTCTAGGAGCAAGCCTGCTAGGTTTCATAAATGATCATCGTGCACTGTCCAATGAATCTTGACTTATGGCAACCCTTTCCAGGGTTTTCTAGGTAGAGGATACAGAGAAGTGGTTTACTGTTCCATCTTATTCTGGGACTGTGCAACTTGCCCAAAGCTACGCAGGCTGGTTCTGCACCCAAGAGGCAGAGTGGGGAGAACTGTGGCTTTCTGGCTGTCGTTGGGCTGCAACTCTTGTCAATGCAAGACTCCCCCAGCCAAGGAAAAGGGGTCCTACAAGTGGTCCTTCAACAACATCTGAAGGGCGAAAAGCTACCCAGCCCCATCTTAAGGGAAGCAGGAAAAAAGATGGCACATGTACTTGGTCTCATCCTGGTTTTGTCTCTGGGTGTGCACAGTGCAGAAAACGGGGGCTGCATTTCCTCTTTAGACAGAAGTTGCATCCGTGCGATAAAAGCTTCCTTCCAGACTTGCTGAAATGGCAGCCAGCTTTTCACAAGACAGATTCAAAAATACTCTGGGGTGGGTATGGGAGGATATGAGGAAAGTTCCCTTAAGAATCAACAGTTCGTTTGAGGGCAAACGAGAGAGAGAGAGAGAGAGAGAGAGAGAAACCTTACGGTTTCAGGGATGTGTCTGCATGGGGTGTGATTAGCGATCAGCCAGGCGCCTTCTGGAAGTCTTGGACTGCAATCATCCTCAACTAGCATACTAGCATGCACTCTGTTTGGGGGTTATGGGAGCTGTGGTCCACCACATCTAAATACTGATGCCTGCTTGAAGGAGGTTTTCCTTCAGTCAGTTTGAATACTGACGTATAAAATAAAATAAATTTAAAAATTGTGGTTCTAAACATTAGGCGGAGAGATGCACACACGTATCCTCCACATCTGGAGAAAACATAATTAAAGGAGAATAATGGACTCGTGCGCTCAAGATCTCATATGCTGCCAGAAGTGAACCTAAGTAGGTAGAAGAGAAGTGGTTCTCCTTCCCATAGTTTGCATAAGTTCCTTTTCTGGAAATAGACCTGTTGGAATCCCTCTGCCCCAGGCCTTAGTGGCTGGGGAATTCTGGGAATAGTAGTCTTAAAAGGCAGCTTTTCTAGACTCTGATCACGAAGAGCACTGTCTTTGATTCTATGTGACAAGCAGGTATTCTTAATTAGCGAGGGGGCAGGGAAGGTTGTAGTCTCCAAAAGTAACTTTTTCAGATTCTATTCCTTTCCTGCCTTTGTCTCTTTCTGAAATTTGGCTGAACCTTGTCCATTCATTGATATAGATCAACAACTCTTAACCTGGGTGGCTCAGCCCCATCCAGGATGTGATGCACAAATCTGGGGGAGGGAGTCAATTGGTTTTTTTTTCTCCCTTGATATTAAGCAACTCCTTTCACTCTCCTGTGAGACTAGGTAGCCCCAGCCCCAGAGTGTTTTTTTTAACTGGCCCACAAGTGTAGCTTTCCTTTCTGGATCCCAAGTGGTCTTAAAAGACTTTTCCACTGCAAAGTTCTTTACCGTATTCATGTGTCTGCAAAGCTTCCGAAGGCACCGAAAGTCAACCCCTCCTATCCTGAAACTGGGTGCAAACAAAGCACACCCCCGAGGAAAGGCCCCTTAAGGAGGAAGTTCCATATTTTCAACATGGCTAGAGAAGAGGTCCTATTGAATGTCACCATGCACTGTCCCTTACATAGCACTGGTAACCAGATGATGGCCTCCATGAACGTGCTTAATATGTGACTAGACCAAATAAGCCATCCTTAAGGCCTCTTCCAGAGCCCAGATGGTTGTGCAGGCCTCTTGCGTTCATAAACTGCTCAGTTAAGGGTTTCCAAAAGGCAAGTACCATTCCTCCAACTTCATAACCGTTTCCTCCCTTTCTTCTCCATCAAGATGATATTCGGTTGTTTGGCTTCGTCCGATTCACCACTGGAGATGCCATGAGCAAGCGGGTCAAGTTTGCCCTGATCACATGGATCGGTGAGAATGTCAGTGGCCTGCAAAGAGCCAAAACAGGGACCGACAAGACTCTGGTGAAAGAAGTAGTACAGGCAAGTATTTTGTTTTCTTTTATTTGGTTTGTTACATTTATGCTCTGTTGAGCGTCCACCTTTGGTGCAGCTACAAGGAGACTGAAAGCTTCCACTCTCATTTTATTTTAGATAGCCTGAGTTTACTGTTGTCTCTGAATCCCAACCTGTAGATAAGGTTAATTATGCTAGTTAGTGAAATATGCCATAAACCATGATTGAGAATCAGAATGTTTCCACAAACTATAGTTAAAGTTAACCCAGTTAGACTGCATTACAATGTCATAACAAGCCACCATTATTTTAAATTAAAGCAGGCAGTGAGTGGGCCACATGTGGCCCCCATGTCCTTCGTTGTGACTCCTTTGATGTTGAGTGTTGCAAATGGCAGCACTCACTATCCCTCTAAATACAGTGGTGCCTTGCTTAACGGTTGCTCCATTTAGTGATGAAATCGCTTAATGATGACTTTTTTGGAGCGTTTTTGTGTTTCGTTTAACGATGGTCCCTATGGGCGATTTTTGCTTAGCGATGGTTGGGACCATGCTTCGCATAGCGATAAAATTTTGGGTCCCTTGTTTCGCTTAACGATGGTTTAAACAGCCTCATGTTTGATGTTTTTTAAATGTTTTTCTGTTATTTATAAAGTTAAAGTTTACTGTTTAAAATGTTTGAAATCATAAAGTGCACTTAATAAACCCTTTGTTAACCAGATTTGACTTTGTTCTGACTCTTTTTTAATTTGTTGTTGTATTTTTCCCCCATTGAGATGCATTGAATAGGTTTCAATGCATTTCAATTGGGGAACCGCGTTTCACGTAGCGATGTTTCCTATGGCGATTTTCGCTTAAGGACGGCAATTCGTTCCTATTGGAACGGATTATCCGGTTTTCAATGCATTTCAATGGGAAACCGCGTTTCGCTTAGCGATGAAATAGCTTAGCAGCGATTTTTCGGAACAAATTAACATCGCTAAGCGAGGCACCACTGTAAGGTGTCTCTTTCCACCCACCAGGCTTACAAGTTGATCCATGTTTCTGGGAGCACAAATCTGCTCATAAGCAAAGGACACAGCCTGTTTCAAGGCAAAATGGCACAAGTGCTGCTCTTTTGGCTCTCATGCCATTGAATTTTGAAAGAAAAATCCGTGGCAGTGGCCACAGGAGTGTGTGGTGACCTGATACCAGTTTTTGGGGGAAGAATGGCTCCTGTTTCAAGACAAAATGGCACAAGTGCTGCTCTTTTGGCTCTCATGCCATTGAATTTCGAAAGAAAGATCCGCGGCAGTGGCCACAGGAGTGTGTGGTGGCCTGATACCAGTTTTTTGGGGGAAGAATGGCTCCCAGAAGGCAACCATCTGTGCTCCAATTGGAAGCAATTTCATCATTCCTTACAGCTGTAGTGGAAGAGGGAGAACCAGGGAAAACCCATAAGTACTGTTCCTAGGTTTTGGACGTCAGATGGACACCTCAAGCAGTTGCTAAACTTTCCTGGCTGTCCATGGGAGGAGACAAGTCTCTGAGTGAGTTGTGACAAAGGAGGAGAAGGTCTGATTTTTGGCTGTGAAGTGGCTTTGTAGCCTGCATGGGATGCTTCTCATCTTTGACGGAGACCACCAGAAGTGGGAGATGGTCTTGTCCACATAGTACTTCCCCCAAAGATGTGGAACACTTTCCAGCCTGAGAGCATCATTCCGTTTCTGAGTCTTGCCCAGGTGCTGTGTTCCATTAGTGGGTGGAGCCAAATAGAAAAAGGGTGGGGCTAAAGAGGCCAGGATATTTTAATGCATTCCTATTGGATGGAGCTAAATCTACAGAGAAGCACTTCAGACCCTTTGGAACAGGGGTGGAGGGAGATCCATAATAGCTGGGGAGGACAGCTGGGCACCCTGTCTTTTGCTCCCAAGGACCTCAGTGTCCCCCCCACCCCATGGCTTGATCCAGATTTAGCCAAATGGGCCAATACTGGGCTAGATGTGACTCTCTGGGAATCTGGTCTACAGGACATGGTCACTGTCAGTGCCATATTGCCTTTGACACCATTAGTGGTCCAGGGCTGTTGTCATTTTGGCCAAAGGCACAAGGACCGTGTCTAAATGCACGAAACTGACCATTTTCTAGAATGCAACATTTACTTGGATTATGAACAGTCCCTCAGAAACACCAGCAGGTTAAAACAAAATGGTAGCTATGTTTATTCCTCTATGTGTTGAGGGGGAGGAAAAACAACGGATTCGTTAACTGATGAGAAGAAAACGTGTTTGGAAGCATGCTTTCTTCGGCAGATTTTGCAATGGTGGGTTCTGTGTTTTTTTGAAGAACTCGCTTGTTATTGTTGTGTGAAGCAATTCAGGTTCTTGCTGCATCGCAGCTTCCTGCCCCCAAAATAAATAGCCATGCTTGTTTGTGGTACCCGTACGCTCCGGAATGAAGACAAAAGCCACGATTCATTCCTAGGGCACGATTAGGGTCAAGAATGGAAGGGCAGCGAGCTGGGGGTGGACAGAGGCTAGCTTGAGAGGCGGGCTGTCTCTTGGAAATTTATGCCTCAGGCCCGTTATTTCTGAGAAGAAGGGGACTTGTTTCTGCATGAAAGAGACAGCGTGGAATTTCATGCCTGTGTCTCAAGAAGACAAGAGCTGCTCATAACACCTTCTCCAGGCAATGAAAGAAAAGGGGGGAAAAAACCCCATAAAATACCTCTGTTAGGTCTGTGAACATTCGAAACAGAGTACCAATGAATTAAGTAATCTCAGCCAATGGGGGAGGCAGATGGATAACTGAATGTTTTCCCTCTTGTCTTTTCTGCTCTTGTATAAGATTGCTACTCTTAGGCTCACTTCCTTGCTCCTTCTTCCTTTGTCTAATAGCAGCTCCCAGGGTGTTTATACCACTTTAGTAGTGACAAATTCACTACTAGGCTGCTGCACTTTACCAGTATAAACACCAAAGAAGCTTAATAGAAAACTACCAGTTCTTATTTACTCCTGGAAAAAATGCAGAAGCCTCTCGAACGCCAGAATGCTGACACCCCTGCCCTTCTCCTAAACAATGTGCTCTGCTTTCTTTTTCTCCCGCAGAATTTTGCCAAAGAGTTTGTGATCAGCGACCACAAGGAGCTGGACGAGGACTACATCAAGAGCGAACTGAAGAAAGCCGGGGGTGCAAACTACGACGCGCAGGCAGAGTGAAAATTTTAAACATGCACTGTGCCTCCTGCAGCTGCCTGCCTGGCTTTGGGAAGGGAAGGAAAGGGAAAAAGCACAATTTTATCTCCAGAAGCAAAAGCCGGAGGCGAGTGAGAAGACGACGCTGCTTCCTTTTGTACATCTCCAGAGTGTCTTCTGGCCTCCCCGAAAGGACCTTGATTTCTCATTCCACCTGGCGCAGCGTTTCTTTCATATCTCAGCTCTCCTTTTGACTTTCTTCTTTTTTTAAGGGAAAAAAAAAGTTTGCCGTCTTTCTCTTTTAACAAATGTTACTTGGGTACTTGGTTCCCCCATAGAGTGTTGGCTGTGAGACTTATCCTGTTGACGTTGGCCTGTTGCCATGTTCTGCCGAAATCCTGGTCTTTACATCGGGAGCCTCCGTTGTGGCCCGGGAAGACCTGCATTTCTGGCTTAGGGTGCAATGATCCATTCTTATTTTTGTTTCTGTTCATGTAAATTTGCAGTTCATCTCCATCTGCCCCAGTTCAGCCACAATGTGCTCCCAGGAATCGGGCACACAAGGTTAATTAGATGAAGCCAGATCCCTTGCTTGCTTACTCAGAAGTAAATCCCACTGACGTTTGTGGCCTGGATTCAATGATGGTCCCACTAGAGTAAAAACATAGTATCATACTTATGCAGATCCCATTGATTCGATGGATCTAGTCTCCTTGGGAGCAAGAGCTGTCACTAAGGTTAAACAGTTGGGGCTTTACTCCATGGCACTAAAATCTAGAGACAAATCTGGTGGTGCATGTTAGAAAAATAAATGGGGATAAATAAGCTTTTCTTTTGGGGCAGATCTTCCAGTTCTTTCATGGGAGACTTGTGCCCATGTTTCATGGCAGAGCGGGTGACTAGTGGTGCCCCCGACAGTGGAACAATGACTAGTTATGGCTCTAGGTGGGGTCACACCAATTGGATTCATTGTCTTGTCTCACTGCCCCGGACATGCCTATTTAAAAGGAAATCCCATTGAAAGCACTGGGACTTAGTCCATAGAAACAAGCGTGAGATTACGCCAGTACTCCCAAATCAGGGCGCATGGGACTGTGGTCTAACACAGTGGTCCCCAACTTTGGCCCTCCAGATGTTCGTGGACTTCAACTCCCAGAAATCCTGGCCAGCAGAGGTGGTGGTGAAGGCTTCTGGGAGTTGTAGTCCAAGAACATCTGGAGGCCCAAGGTTGAGGACCACTGGTCTAACAGGACTGTTGGACTTGTTAAATCAGAGCTATTTTCAAGGGAATCCAATTTGGGGGGGGGTATCCCCGCTGAATGCAGGATTGCGTCCCTCAGGCTTTTAACGTCATAGCCTTCCAGCCTGACGCTAAGTACACATACTAAAAAGTAATACCATCCACATCCAGGGGGACCTACTGTCAAGTCATTAGAATAAATCTAGTTCTTAATCTCTACTAATAATGCTCATGTGCCATCAACTCAATTCTGACTTACGACGCCCCTTTTTCGGGGTTTTCCAGGTAGACAGTACCTAGAGGTGGATGACCATTTCCATTTTCTGGGGGCGCCCTGGGACTGTACAGCTTGCCCAAGGCTACACAGGCTGGCTCTTCTCCCAGAAAGCCCAGTGGGGAATTGAATGCTCAAATCCTGGCTCCACAGCCAGGTACATAATCCCTACTAGACTAGAGTTCCTGCACCTGCGGGGATACATGAATGTTCTTCCTATAGGTCTACTCTTGTTGGGATTTAAGATTGGATTTAAGCCAGAGTGCTTAGGATCCCTGTTTCATGCGTTAGGCTACAATTTTATATGTACTTCCTTAGGAGTGAGCACCACTAAACACAGTGGGGCTTTTATTCAAACATAGGATTGGATTTTATTTTTCAAAACATGCAACGCTGAGATGAGCTCAAGCCAAGGCTATTCAAAGCGGTACCATGAGCCGAAATATCCACTAGTGACAATGTTGAAGAGTCGCTTCGAAAGGACGTCATCTTGCCTTTTAAAGAGATAAGAAGGAATATAATTTGCCTTAACAAAATTGCTTGGTTTTGTGCTGTATGGGTTTATTTTCTCCCTTCTTCTCTTCTTTTTCCCTCCTTTTTAAAAAGTGCTTTTCTTTTTATTTGATGTTTTAAGAAATTGCTGTAACAGCAGTAAACAAGGGAACAACCACAAAAATCTCATCTTTTGATTGTACAGTTTTGTACATTTGTTGGCTTTTATTTTTTAAATCTTCAGATGTGGACATTGTCATGTATACAACAGTTGCCGCTGAGAACTTGCAGACAAATACAAAATAGCGTTCCTTAGACTCTTGTGATGTGTTGCTGTTAGGGAACACTCCCTAGAGGCGTGGAAAAGAGGGGCTTGTGTCAAAATGAAGATAAGCCATGTCAGAAGTCCCACCTCTTCGTATTGAATTCAGTTCCAGAGATGGGAAGGATTTTCGGACCACAACTCCCATAATCCCAGTCATCATGGCCACAGGATACTGAGAGTTATAGTCCAAAGACAAACCTTCCCATCTCTGGCTCTAAAGTCATAGGGCAGGTTAGGCTCACAAATGCCAACCAGTTTCAAGCCTTTTCGCTGATAATGGACTAAATTCAAGGAGGTCTACAATCGGGAATTATAGTAGTTTGATACCACTTTTAGCGGCCATGGTTCCATCCGTCTTTCGGGGGGGGGGGCTTCTGCCCATGCCTTGGAGCAGAGTGGGTGAGAGAGGGTGCCTTTTGACTGGGGTGCCAAGAAGGCTAGTTTGAGATTTGTAGTTTGGTGCAAGATTTCTGTATATTATGTTTCACTCGATATCCAAGATCATTCAAGTGGCTCCAACATGTTGCAACTCTGTAGGGTGTCTGAAAATCTAGCTTAGATCTGTTGGAATATACGGGATCTATGTTACTGTTGACTGGTGAGTCCTACAAACATCAGTAGGTCTAAAACTGGGACTAAAATTAGATGTCATTTTAAGGTCTCCCCAGCAAAGGACCTTGGAAATTATAGGATGGCATTGACCTCCATCGTTCTCATTGCGCCCTCACAACATTACAAAACCCTGAATTCCTTGGAGGAAGACAGCTGTGACTAATTAAGTAAGCCCAAACTCCTTTAGAGAGCTGCAGTGTAATGTTATGCATATTTAGTCCTGCTGTGTTAATAGGATTTCCTGTCCGTTTTCAGTTGCAGGGTTGTATAATCCTATACATGATGCCCTGGGAGTAAGTGACTGTCTCCTAGAGAGGCATATAGGGTGGAAGTGGGCAATGTGTCAGTCTCCAGAGGTTATTGGACTGCAATGTCCAGCCGTGCTAGCCTGCGTCGGCTATGGTGAGGTGACCCGGGACCTGCAGTCCACAACAGGTGCCTTCCATGAGTTTCTCACCCTGATGTCTAGAACGGCAGCCTTTGCACATTTACCTGAAGAGTGTTAGGCTCACAAATGCCAACCAGTTTCAATCCTTTTCGCTGATAATGGGCTAAATTCAAGGAGGTCTACAAGCAGGAATTATAGTAGTTTGATACCACTTTAACGGTCATGGTTCCATCCATCTTTAACCGGGGGGGGGGGGTTTTCCGAGGGCTTTGGAGAGGGGCAGGT